GTCATAAATGAGTTTTTTTCTTACAATCCTTTTTGCATAGTTGTTTTTCTCATGTGTGTCGTCGCGACACCCAGGTCATAAATGTGTTTTTTTCTTGCAACTCTTTTTGCATAGTTGTTTTTCTGATGCCCTCTTTGAGTGCGAGTGTGATCGGCACCCGCTGACGAAAAGTCCCGCAATGATCGGGTGCTCAGCTCACAGAGTACTTGCAACACACAGATGTTTTTTTGTGGGTGTTTGTCTGTTACTTTGATGCTCGATGGTGAGTGGCACCGGCACCCGAATTTAGTTGGGTGTGAGTAGAGTGCTAAAAAATGCCACTCTTGCAGGTTTCTGGTATATATTTCCTCTTTAATCCGTCTATATGTTGTTGCTAAAATGTCCAAGTTTTCTACCACTTAATATCGGCAAGAAATTTAGACAAGCAATCCCTTTTTCTTTGAAAAATAATAAGCATAGGCAATACATAGGGAAGCAGCAAGACTACCACCCCCCTTGCCGACGAGCCGCAGCCGGAGAACAATTTTGCATGTGCGCTTCTCTCAGTCCCAACAGCAAGCCTGAGTATATAATTTAAAATGTTCGTTACATTTTGGCGTTTAAGTGGAGCCCTTGGCTTTGGATCTCAAATTACTTGAGGGTCCGGCCCCCGTGTCTCTTAGACTTGGTTCCTGCCTTTGGCTTCCGTCTCTTGAAGGCGCTAACTGAGCTCCCTCCCTCTTCTGACTCACGTCTTGGGGAATTGACTCCTGTCCTTCAGACATATTTATATTCCTTTGGGATTAGGCAGGAGTGACCAACTAATTAGGTGAGAGAAGCTGCTGGATTATGCAGAATTCCCAAAATAAAGGATGGCAAGTAAAAACTTGTTCGCAAGAATATGCCGTAGAATTCGAATAGTGGAATTGTCAGCACCGTCAACTAAGTTGAAAATGTAGAAATATGAGATGGTAAATCGAAACAAATATGGATTGCAAGAATATGCAGTAGAATGGATGGTGGAACTATTTGATTTCAGTACCGTCAACTAAGTTGAAAATGTAGAAATATGAGACGGTAAATCGAAACAAATATGGATTGCAAGAATATGCCGTAGAATTGGGATGGTAGAATTTAGATGGTGGAATTAATCGATCTTAGTACCGTCAACTCAGTTGAAAAATGTAGAAATGTGAGACGGTAAAATCGATCGGAATAACGAATTGCAAGTTTATAAACTGGAAAAAAATTATTTGAAGTAGAAGCGACGAGAAAAAATACATATATATGTAGTGGAAACAATATTAATTAGAGCTCTTTGTTAGAGAAAAATCATTAGAAAAACTAATACTGTCTTCCCACACAGCACATTTGTGAGGAACGTTTGGGATTTTTTACAAATGTGAAACTCGTGTTCCCACACAACATTAAAGCACATTCAACATCCGAACAGCTGATCGATCAGCTGTGGCTCTTGAAAACGTAAACAAAGGCTGTCGAATTGGTTTTCGCAAAATTATAATGGAGCAGTTACCAACTATTTTGGCTGTTGTATAGCAGCAAAATCTTAGATTGCGACAGGTTTTCATGTCGCTAAATGTAAATGACGACGACGACTTCGAAGCTCTCCTTGAAGTCCTTTACTCTACTAAAGAGCAAATGCCACGAAGCGTGTGGATGGTGGTAGGTGCTACCAAAATTTAATTAAATACAGATTAAATATGATTTGTATATTAAATAGAAGCGATTCGGAAAATTTTGGGAGAAGGATGTACCACAAAACAACGATGAGTTCTTTAAAGAGAGCTTTCGGATGGAGAAGCGTTTTTTTTTTTCTTTTTTGGTAGATCGACTAGAAGTTCTCCGAAAGAAGGATACTAACTGGCGAAATGCAATTTCTTTGGAGAAGAGTATTGCTATCGCCTTGTACACCTTGGGGTTATCCTCGGAGTATCGTTCCATTGGAAGGCTATTCGGTGTTTTTGCCGGGCTGGCATTGCCCAGTTTGCCGGTGAATTCATGTTCCCTGACTATTTAACTCTCAAAAAATTTAAGGAGTGTGTCAGGGGCTTTGAACAAAATGGATTTCCCCGATGTCTAGGAGGAACTGGTAATAAATCAATTCATTAATCAGTTCACGTACATATATAAAATATATATATCTATATTCTAGATGCTTGTCATATCGGAATAAAACCATCGGCAGTAGATGCAGTCGATCATCACAACTATAAAGGTTGGTACTCAATAGTACTGTTCGCTCTTGTGGATTACAGGCAAGTTACCTGCTCTTTAGATGTTTCATAATCTGCTAATTGTATTAAATTGTATATTAACTATAGGTACAGATTCACCTATGTAAACATCGGCTCTGCAGGGCGTGTTGCAACGACTCGACTATTTTTCAAAAGTCTAGCCTTGCAAGGAAATTGGGGTCGTCTACATTAATTCAGGAAAAATCAAAGGAAATCTGTGGCGTACAAGTTCCGCTGCTGCTTATTGGAGACTCGGCTTTCCGATTTTCCCAAACGCTGATGAAACCAATCCCATTTTCGACGACCGCGAGCATAGAAGAGCGCACATTTAACTGCAATTTGTCCAAAGCTAGGCGAGTTGTAGAAAATGCTTTTGGGCATTTAAAGGCCAGGTTTCGATTTGTTGGAAAGGGACTTGACAGCCACTACAAAAACAATAATGCAATTGTTCTAACCTGTTGTATTTTGCATAACATTTTAAATGAGCACAACAGCGCTATTAATGATAATTGGCACCTGGCTGCCAGTGACCTTCGTGAACAACCCAATCGAACCAATATGTCTGCAGATTTTAGACAGCCTGCTGAAAAAGTTAGAGCAGCAATTGCTCAATATTGTCTTAATGGAAACAACAATATTTAAATAAATAGTGGTTTTATTATTTATTATTATTTATTAAGTTTTTTAATCAATTTTTCTATTTAATTATTTTTAGTTCCTGGACTCCCTCAGAAATTGGAGAAGTTCCGACTGGAACTTCTCTTGGCTGTCCGCCATTCTTTGCAGAATTTCAGTCTGCGCTTTCTGCTCCTCCAGCCTCTCTCGAGCAATTTCGACCAGGTCACTTTTTTGGTCTACTCTTGCTCTTTTGGCTGGAGGCAAACTGCCGGAGCGTCGACTTCCGCTCATATTAGACGCCTCCGGGTCCTCCAGAACTTCCTCTGAAAAATACTACTGCAATAAAAACATGTTAATTATTGAATGTACATAAAAGCTATCTGGGAGGGAACATACTCTCGTTGTCCACCGTATCCTGCTCTATGCTATGGATACGGAAGGAGCCGAGAAACGCTTGCAGCGTCTCAAAATGCTGCCAATCAGATGGAGCCCCACCGCTCGGCCCCATTTTGTTTTTTTCCTGCCTGCAAATAATAATAATTTCGCGGAATTAATTAATGTAATATATTCTGGTACTCATATTTACTTGTATTTCCTTGTCATGTTCTCCAGCTTCGTCTTAATATCCTTCCAATATACATCATACCCAGCCTCCATCAAGGTCTAGGCCATCTTCATATACACATGGCTATTTTTTCGAGATCCCCGCAACTGCTCAATATTTTCCTGCCATACATCGATGAGCAGGCACTCCATATGCAGGGTCCATCTCGGCTTCCCACCGGCGGTTCTAGAATCATCTGCAAAATTAAAAACAATTATCAATATTAAAATGTAAACAACCTGTTAATATACAACCTGTTGCGTTGGGCCTTCCATTTTTCATTTGTTCCTCGCAAGTTTGTTTACATTTTCGTAGTGAATGGTCAAATTAAGAAGAAGAATCAGAGTTGCACCGAAAAACTATCGCCTAACTATCGCCAAACACACGGTCATTAGATTTTGATGCGCTTTGATGCAGGTCCAATTGAGTAAATTTGAAACGGCAAAACCTTATGGACCGTTTGTTCAACGGACGGTAAATGCGCTTTGACGGTGTGTGGTTTTGCCGTTTCGAATTTTCTCAAATGGACCGCGGTTAGAACGCATTAAAATCTAACCACGGTTTGTTTGGCGATAGTTAGACGATAGTTTTTCGGTGCAACTCTGATTTCTTCTTCTTAACAGTGAAAATTTGACCAACACTTCGAAAAATGTATACACACTTGGCGAGGAACAATTGAAAAATGAAATTTAAAACACCCCAAAAATAGTTGTTAGTGTTTTTCTGTATATTCTTGCGACAATATGTCCCCATTTGTTACTATTTAATATAAACCGCCTGCCTCTACCTTATTTTAAAGATTTTGGATGCATATACCACCTATAGGCGCTCTTCGGGGAATTTGCTCTTTGTTAGAGAAAAACCTTTAAAAAAACTAAAATTCCTTGTCTTTTATTAATTTAAATTTAGTGCGGATAAATTCTGACGCAATCTGTGCTTTTGCGGTTGTACAACAGCCAAAATAAATTGGTAAATGCTCCATTTCAAATTTGCAACTGCCAATTCGACAGTCTTTGTTTACGTTTTCATGAGCCACAGCTGATCGATCAGCTGTTCGGATGGCAGATCCGCTTTAACGCAGCTCTGTGGGAACACGAGTTTCACTTTTTTTAAAAATCCTAACCGTTCCTCACAAGAAAACTCAAATTCCTCGTCATTTAATTCATTTTAATTTAGTACGGATTAAATCGAAAAATGGCAAACTGGGTTATGCTTTTGTTAAAAAGCCTAAATAATTGATAAACTATTCATTTTACTCCCATATCGGCTTAAGCCATGTTTGTTTAGGTTTTCATAAGCCACAGCTGATCGATCAGCTGTAATTTGATGCTGATGCAGTTTAATGCGCTCTGTGGGAACACGAGTTTCGCATTTGTGAAAATCCCAACCGTTCCACACAAATACAGTGAGTGGAAAGACAGTATTAGGAATTCTTTGATATATCGTTGACATATGACAATTGGATGTTCCATTTTCGATGAATGTGGCTCTGTGGGAATGGTGTATTTGTAAATCCCCCAATACGACGAATTCTTAGCTTTTTCATTTTTATTTTTTCGACGTATGGTACAAGCGCATTGGCAACCGGAAATAAAGTTCTGTCCCTTTCTTTCTCTGTTTGCGGAACTAACTGTACGCAAGTTACTTCGATTTGTTGAATTTATTTTGTTGGTGTCAAAGTAAGTTTTAAATGTTAAGCTGAAATGCAATTTATTTTAAACAAGAATTAATTTAATCACTTAGATGCCACGTGAAATTAAAGAAGTCAAGGACTTTTTGAACAAGGCACGGCGTTCCGATGCACGTGCTGTTAAAATCAAGAAGAATCCGACCAACACCAAATTTAAGATTCGTTGTTCCAGATTTCTATATACCCTTGTCGTGCAAGATAAGGAAAAGGCCGATAAAATAAAGCAGTCCTTGCCACCAGGCTTACAAGTTAAGGAAGTGAAGTAAAGTACCTTCAGTTGATGGTTACCGTGCCACCCCGCATACATAATGTACGGTTTTAGAAGGCTTGCTAAAATATGTATTTAATATATTTAAATAAATAAAGCACGCCTCACAAATAAGGAAAATATTTAAGCCTTAATGTATACTTGGACCTTTATTTGTATATTATGTATCATATGTATGTATGACTGTATCATGCGGTCATGATACATACATATGTATGTGCACTCGACGCATACAGTGACTCCATCGCATAATCGGACAAGTACCTTCTTATTATAAATGTGCTCAAAAACTATCAAAACTGTACGAAATGGATCGGTTCTTTCTGTTTTTATTCAAGATTAACATTCTTATTATTCAATAACACACAAAAAAATGACATATTTCCAGAACTAAAACAATTATTCCATTATTTGACGCTCAACGTATAATCGGACAAAGAAAAATATGAATGAAAAAAATAGGAAAAGGATACATTTAATATTTGGTCTCTAGAACAGCTTGCAAGCGCCTAGGAATGGATTTCACCCAATTTTTCGCACACTTCCGGCTCAATGCAGTTCCATGCTTCCAACAAAGCTTCCTTGAGGCCATTTATAGTGTAAAATTTCTCCTGCTACACTCTTCTAGCCAATTCTTCCCAGAGCTGTTCAACTACGTTAAGGTTGGGGCTTTGCGCTGGCGTTTCGACAGCTTTGGGACAATTATGGATCAACCAAAGCTTTGCAACACTCTATGTGTGCTTAGGATCGTTGTCCTGGTAAAAAGCTAAGTTGTTTGCGATACCCAATTTCTGAGCACTTTGCTTTACATTTTCTTTTAAAACCTTTAGGTAACCAAACTTATCCATAATGCCATCTATAAAATGCAATTGGCCTACTCCAGCACTGGACATGCAGCCCCAAACCATCACAGAACCTCCTCCATGCTTTCCTGTGGCCTTTGTGTTTTTGGGTTTAAATTCGGTATTTGGTTTACGCCAAACTTCTTTTCATCGGATCCATGTAAATTAAATTTACTCTCATCAGTAAATAGAACCTTTAATTAATTAATAAAAATTAACAACTTTTTCTCAGCTCATTAACTATTATATTACCGTCTTCCAAAAATCCTCTGTTTTCATCAAATATTCTTTTGCATATTTAATGCGTTTTTGTTTGTTCTTGGGGCTAATAAAGGGCTTCTTCCTCGCAACTCGTCCGAAGTAATCAAATTTATGTAAAGTATTACGCACAGTATTGAGACACACGTCTTTACCAGTTCGGTTTTGTAAAGAAATATTAAGTTCTTTAGCAGTTTTGAAGGGATCTTGTTTAATTTCTTTTAAAACCGACCGCTCTTCTCGGTCATTTAAGATTTTGTTTTGGCCTTCCCTGCTTTTATTGGCTAATCTAAATTCATCACGGAACCTCTTAATAATGTGGACGGTAGATTCTCTGCGTACACCCCATAAAAATTTAAAATTATAACTTCAAGAACACACCGTTCGGCCATTTTTCAACATTTTAACACACTTTTTTTTCGTAACATAACTTTTAGTTGTCTTTAATTAAGTATTTTTTACTTAGAATTTTTTAACAATGTCATGATTTATTTTTAATTTTAAGCTTAACGCTAAGAAAAAGTGTACACGCAAAAGTCTGCGTACAGCTAACTAAAAACTACTTAAAACCTATTATTTACAACTTTTTATATTTAGTAGGGTATCCATTTGCCTTTAGCACCTCCGTAAGGCGCCTCGGTATGGAATCCATCAGTTTTTTTGACTCCTCGGCTGTAATTTTCCCCATTTAAGATGTTATTATGTGTTTCCGGATCTTTCGCTCTATTAGATCCAACAAATGTTCAATTGAAAAGGTCAGGACTCCTGTGGAGGTGTTCTCAGCGGATTTTAGCATTATATAGAAGCCAAAGCTTCGTATTATGCGCCGTGTGCTTGGGATCGTTGTCTTGCTGGAACCAATATTCATGTTTTAGCCCCAATTTTTCAGCACTTTTTTGTAAGTTTTCCTTCAAAATGTTGATATAGATTCCTTGGTCCATAATTGACTCGATAAAAGTCAAATTTCCCACGCCGCTCGATGCCATACACCCCTACACCATAATGCCGATCACTCCATGCTTTACCGTGCCCACAACATTTTTTCTTTTTAAAGGCTTCTCCGGTTTTTCGCCACTCTAAAACATTCAGACTTTTGGTCATATTTTCCGATGAATGCAAGTTATACATTTTCGGAATAAAGGGCAAAGTTTTAAAAGCCCAATTGAACATTTGTGGGATCTAATAAAGCGAAAGATCCGGAAACACATAATAACATCTTAAAAATGCACAAGGATGTCATAGTAGAGGAATGGGGAAAATTACAGCCGAGGAGTCAAAAAAACTGGTGGATTCCATGCCGAGGCGCCTTACGGAGCACAGTAGCGCCTCTCGAACAAAAGCCGTTGCAAAAATCAAAAGTCGTCGCAAACACGATAGACAATACTTACTCGACAGGAAATTTCCCATGGATTCAGAATCTGCTGTAAAATCAATTTTCGGATTTTTTTTGTAGAAGATATGAGCATTCAAAGTTGAACTTTGTTTCCATTTTTGCATGATAAGAAAAAAAGGGAAACCTGGTTGACTTTCAGGTAATATTACACAAAAACTATATTACCTATCGCCATGAATTTTGCTTTAAATAATAGACACATTCATAAACTGTAACCCAATCCAAAAAAAGGGGAATTGGGTTAGGGCTTGCACAGGTAAATCGCTACCTGCCAGGTGTCCATTTTTTCACTTTTTTCTGGCTAAAGTAGTCTTTATATTTTTTGGATGGGCTGAGCCACTATACACACTATAACTACGACCTTTGTGGATCTATTCTAGACAAAAATCAACTTACATCTGCTGCGTCGATACAATGCGATTATGAAAATTAAAAATTTTAATTGTATTTTATTACTTGAAGTTTTGGGAACATTATTGTATAATTGAATTAATTAATACTAACACACTTGATTTAAAAAGAATTATTTTGTGGGTGCACCTTAAAATCGGTTCGATTCTAACCTTCAACATAATTGCAAATCCGCCGCCGCTGTGTCGTATTTAAAAGGGACCATTTAAGGGTTGTCAGCGTTTAAAAAAAAAGGCATATATTTAAGATAAATTTAGAATAATTACTTTTTATGTTGTTTTACAATTAAAAGATCTGCTATTAGGGTAAAGTATATGAAAAAGTGTTTTTTTTTTAAATACCAGCCAGTTTAATCTACAAACTTAACTAAGTGTTATGCGAAGGGAATTTTTTCTAAACCCTCGGCAACTCTTCTCTCGAGCATTTGCGACCAGAACAGCTGATTGCAATTATAAATATTTCAAAAATACAAATATTTCAAATATTTCAATTTGTGCTTCATTACTATCTATGAGTTGGAGACTACAGCGGGTCAAAATTTGAAATCTTAGTCAAGGCAAACTCTTTTGTTGAATGCGACCAGCTGATTTTGTTTGGGAATATAAGGGAAATTAAAAAAATGTCCTTAAATTACCAAGGGAAATTCGCTTATGTTAAAGGGAAATCCGCAAATGTTATCAAATTCACTTCCGAGTGGAAACTAGAAAAGGCCTGATACATTTTAGATTTAAATATTAACATTATATATTTAAATGATAAAAAACACACAAAGCAAAAGATTCATTACATTTTAACTGTACTTATGTTTACAGTTTGACAGATAAAGTTTTACATTGCCAGCTTTACATTTTTCTGTACATCTACCGATCATTTCTGTGGTAGCTTTATGATATAGTAATCTGATTTTCTTAAAATTAAAATCAAAATTCTAAATTAATAAAAAATTGGCATATCTCAAAAAGTATGAAAGTATGTTGAAAAACAGCCAAGTTATAATTTTTTCCCTAAAATTTTTCGATTAGTTAGTTGTATGGCAGCTATATGATATAGTCGTCCGATCTGTTCTGACATGCAGCTAAGGTATGCCAAATTGTCAAAAGAGACCTGAAAAGCGCTCAAGTAGGGGCGCTGAAAGAGCATAAGGATGGCCCAAAAAGAGGCTCTGGCCAGTCGCCGCGCAATCGCTCGCCGGGCCCCCTTAACTTGGTGGGAAGAAGACTTGAAATATTTGAAAGAGCAGAGACGGAAAGCAGGGGTTTCTTTTTGGTGTTTAAGGGCAGAGTAGACTAAGAAACCCAATTGAAAGCGAAAACTCAATCTTATTCTATTAAAAGCTAAAAAGAAAAATCACAAGAAAAAATCTAACATAACCAGCTAATTAAAAGTAGGAAACGAGTGATAAATAATAAGAAAAGTGGGAACAAACTAGAAAAGGAAAAAAAAAAGATCAGAGAAAATTGTTGGGTCAAATCACTAACCATACAACATATAGACTGGTCATTTCATACAACGAAAATGGACACCAAAATTTCTTAGCGACAGGCCCTCTGTTAGCTGTTTGCTGTTAGCGACATGCCCGCTGTTAGCTGTTAGCGACGGGCCCCCTGTTAGCTGTTAGCTGTTAGTGACAGGCATTTACATGTATGCGTGTTCATGCATTCACGTACACGGGTGCATGTGTGCAAACATTTCATTTCGGCCCAGCAAGAATATTTGGTCTTTTGCTACTTTTCATACTAGGTACCTTAACAATATGGGCATATTCGCTATTGGGTTAATGATAAAAATAAGAATGTTATATGTTATAATATATTTCTTAATGTTTCAGCATTCATTGCATATTTGTTTACAATTCAAATCAGTGGCAGCAGTGACATGTGTTGCATATATGTACATATGTATTCGAATGAATAAAAAAATTCATCTACTGAGATAGGAACAGGGCATATTGCAGTCGGTGTCACTTAAAACAGAGACGGGCACATGATCTAACGGTTTGGGTAGCAGATCAGCCAGAAAAAAAAAAAACAACAACAACCCCCAGCGTCGCAACGCGTCGCAGCCACGCGCCACACAGAATGTGCGAGCAAAGAAAATACTCTGACAACAACTTTTTGAATAGAATTAATTATATTTGTTTATTAATTGGTCAAAAATTTATATTTGTGTTTATTAATTCGTCAAAAAATGATTGCACGGCATCAGATCCAAATTAT